GGGGGGGGCTCTGCTCCCCCCCCCCCCCCCCCCCGGAGAACTTCTTTTCACATTTTTGAACCTTTGTTCCCCACATCACTCCTACTCTTTTCTTCCTTAGTTGTCCCATAAAAAAAAAAGTATTAGCTTTATCCTTCAACCTTTGGCCCCACACAGTGGGAGCTATTAGTTAACTAGGTGGGCCTTAAGGCCCACATTAACATAGAAGATACAACTAGACAGGAGCTTCACTAACTAAGATGTGGAGACAGCTGCCCCTGCAGCCACAGCTCCTGCCAGTAGGTCTCTAGCCAGTGCAGGGAGAGCAGACAGGCAGGCAGCAATGAGGCAGGCTGCAGCAGGTAGTCCCAAAATGAGGTGCCCCCCACCCCATCTTTTTAGTACCTTTTGCATTAAGCAGCACCAGGGCACATACCTGCCTTGCTCATCCCACATTACACTATGTTAGTCTTTTTCCTTATTTAATAAATTATAGGAAAAATACTCGCCCATTTCAGATAATTAAACAAGGACTCAAAATAATCACATATTTAACAGAAACACACATGAATGCCCTATGAAGTTTCTGTTGTTCTTAACTGTGAATGCATGCAGCAGATGAAGAAGAGGATAAAGATAATTCCAAATAGAACCACCCTGTAAAATTTATTTTGTTTCACTTTAAATATTCTCCTTTAAAGAAAGCATATGCAATGCCTGATCCAGCAAAATCATGTATTTTTACATCTGGAAGTGGAAGCGAAGTGAAAGAACAAATACGGTATCTTGCTCTGGCTCATGAGTTACAAGTTCAAGCCCTGTTCTGCCCAAGTCAACCCAAAAGTAAATAGCTGTCTAATACTATAAGTTAAGGAGTCAAAGACTGTGATGGCAGCTACATCACACCCTTGTGTGCTGCTGGATGCAGAAACAGGCGTGCCTTAACTATGCTAGCCCTGTGGGAGGATCTGACATGGGTTACTGCTGTAAGTTAAGTAGCTGCATATGTCTTCACTGGATCAGGACTTAGACAAGCAAGGGTATATTTCTAACTGCCTGAAGCCTTATTGTGTGGTGGCTGATTCTTCTCTCAACTAGATGAAATTTTAAAAACAATCCCGAAAAGACTCTAATAATACCTTTCAATATTTTAAACTTGGGACTCTGTGCTCCAGCCAAGTGTACTGCAGACCCAGCTGATACATTATGCTCCGCCAGGAAAGGAAGCAATTGCCAGACAAATCATAATACATTAGTTCAAAGATGCATTCAAGCATCTGTTGTGATTTAATTGACTTTAATGGGAGTGAGAGCAGGGCCTATATTCATTGGTGACTTGAGATATTTAGGTACCTAAAGAGCATCTGTACATGAAAGATCCATAATAAGTTAGAAGATGGCATGAGCTGGCAGTGTTTTATAAGGTGAATAAATCGGTTAAGAATTTTTGCTTTTTCCTGTTCTAATTGTATAGAGTTTACTGCATAGTCTCTGCAAGGGAAATTTTTGGCACAGGAGAAATACTTCTCAAAAGTGTATTTACAGAAACCTGAATAGTGGCCAACTATGTAAGGCTGAGTTTGTGTAATCTGTCACTATCCAACTTGATAACACTCACATATACTACTCAAGTGAGTACCTCATCACTTCCACTACTAAGCCATCCACTCACAGCTCTGACATGATAGTGGAGAGAGGAAGGCAGCTGGAGTAGCTTGGTTTTGGATCAAGTCAGGTCTGGAATTCATCAGTTCTCATTCTCCTCAGCAAGAATGCAGTTTCTAGAGCTGATCAGAGGAACTTAAGTGGAATTATATTCTGACAACATGTGTCACTTTCGAATCAAATGACCTCATGAACTTAGGTTAATATTACAGGAACTTTGTTTTGGAAAAAACAGAAACAAAACTTCAACAATATGAAAACAAATTTCTCTAAACAAAGAAACATCTTGATTTATTTTTTCTGAAATAACACTGTTTCACTCATTGCTCATTTTAAACAATCCAAAACATGTTTTATTCAGAAATTTCCTTCTCAGAGAATTTAAAATGTTTCTGGCTTTGTCCTCATCCAAAATAAAACTAGATTTTACCACCTGAAAAATTATTTCTAGCTTTAGTAGTGACAATTCTTTTGAAAAGTTATAGGACAAGTGGGGACCCAAAGCAGGATTTATAGCTCTTCCTTGCAAAGAACTGGAAGGACCATATGGCACTTGTAAAATTATGAAGCATAAAAAAGGTCTTGTGTAATTAGTCCTCAGTGAAAACATATTTTAATAAGTATAGATCTTTAACAGAATATATGTTTACAGTGCTTCTATGAATTTTCCCTCCCCTGGTTATGTACAGACAGTGCTCAGCAGTGGTGTAATTAGGGCTGGATGATCAGGGCAGCCACCCCAGGTTTTAACTTTGAGGATGGGGGTGGGGAAAGGGGAGTAGGAAGGGAGTGGGGAGAGAGAAGGACAGTTCCAGAGATATTCCAGGCCAGGCCAATCTGCATGTTCAACTACAGACATGTCAAATAGCTCTGGGAGGAAGGAGTAGGTCCTAGTAATGTTGGGTCCTAGCCATTTTCCTTTGTTTCTCTCTATAGTGAGATGAGTTTGGTCATAGAAACTGATACCTTATCGTACATCATGCCACTAGGGACAATTTAGTGCTCAAGTCTCCCAAGTATTGATGTTAATATCACATTTCTTCAGATTGGCCTTTGAGGTGTCCTTGATTCTTTTCTTTTGTGCACCTTGTGTGATTACCTTTGGGTTGAGAGTAAAGGATCTGTTTCAGGAGCCTGTTTTCAGGCATCCTTATGACATGTCCTGTTCAATGAAGCTGATGCTATATTAACATGGCCTCAAGCAAGAGTTTGCTTGAGCCAGAGAACTGGTATTCATTCTTTTGTTCTTCCACTTGATATAGAGAATTTTCTGAAAACATCTCTGATGGTAACGTTGCAAAGTTTTCATGTGTTGCCAATATATCATCCAGGTTTGACACCCATACAGAAAGGTAGGAATGACAATAGTCTAGTAGACAAGAAGTTTGGTTTGAGTCCTGATGTCACGATCATTGAAGACATTGTTGGACTAAGTAATAAGAGGAAAGAAAAAGAGACTCCAGCCTTGAGCATCTCCCTGTTGTGATATGGGATCTACCTCAGACCTTGTGTATATATCAGCTATCCCTTGATACAAGGATGATGACTGCCAGGGGGATTATTGGTGAGTTTTAAGGTGGCTGAGGAGTCCAGTCTGTGCTGCAAGTTTTCCCACAGATATGACAAGTGGTGCCTAGGGTGGGAGAGAAGGAAAGGAAGGAGGGCACAAATGATGGCCAAAATATTTTGTGCTTTCCTTCCTCCTCTGCCATTTCTTGGCTTTCTGAGCAAGACTGTTCTGTTCAAAGTGGGCTGTAGTTTGATGTATGGTGCAGCGCCATTGAAACCTATTACCAGCCAGCACTTCCCAATCTGTAGGGTTGATGCCACCCTTCTTGAGATATGCTTTCAGGGTGTCCTTATAGCACTTCCTCTGTCCTCCACGGGTCCTCTTACCATGACTAAATTGAGAGAAGAGGACTTGATTCAGGAGATGAGTGTCAGCCAACTGCACACAGTGGCCAGCCCAGTGGAGTAGATGTTTCATGATCTTTGCCTCAATGCTGGTTGTTAGCTGCAGAGACGATGCTGGCATGGGTGCAGTGGTCTTCCCATTTAATGTAAAGGATCTTCCTGAGGTCATGCTGATGAAACCATTCCAGGCACTTAAGATGGCTTTGATATGTCACCTATGTCTCACATCCATAGAGCAGCATGGGGATAACCGCTGCATTGTAGACCAGGATCTTAGTTTCTATCTGCAGATCTTGGTCAGCAAAGAGACAGCAAAGCAGCTTGTGTAGATGCACTTCAGTGTCATACATGCGCTTTACTAATTAGCTCTGGAGTAATACATCATTGTCTACATGTATGCCAGTATTGGGATACAGTAAATTAATCAACTCCACCATAGGATAGTACTGTCAGGTTTCACTGCACCAAAACATATGTGTAGAAGGTGACCAGGGGCATAAACTGCACCTGGTCAGCCCAGCCAAATGCGGACCTGTTCTGCCTCAGCTCAAATTGCTGCTGTCCTGGGAGCATGTATAAATGCTGCACATGGGAGCAGTTTACTCCAGCTTGAGCTGCTCTGGAGTTTATTGTGTCTCATTAATTGCATGTGTAGATTCACCCACTGATTCCTATCTAGACAAGTGGAAGGAGACAAAAAATATCTACTCTGGATCATCTCCCTATCATGGTAATGAGCTCATCAACTACTCATAACTATGACAAGACCTGGTTCAGGACTATCACCAAAGGGCCTTTTGGGGCACTTACACATATGTGGGGAGCCTGCTTCGCCACAGTGGAAATCCAGCATATCAGAGCAGTCTAGATTAATCGATTCTGCTGGAGCACATAAATTGATGTGCTCTGGCAACCTCCCACATCACATGTATCAGCAGCACAGCACGCCTCTGTGCTGAGAAAAATGTCAGCAGTGCATTTTGAACTAAAACACACTAGATTATGTGCTTTAGTTCAAAGTTCACCACCATCATTTTCTCTGTGTGGGGATGTGGTGCTCTGCTCATACATGAGATGCATGGGCATTTTTAACTAGCACAGCTCGCTAATTAAAAATGCCCAGCCCCAAATCAGAAGCACATGAAAAAATGCCCTTGGATAGTTTTCCCTATTGTTGATTTATTAATTTGGTTTTCCTAAGCTTCTGTTCACTGTATTTTTCTTTTTTCCTCTTAATTCATTAAGTCTGGTTTAGTAAACCTCTTGCAAATAGGAATTTTTTTGGTAATTAAGAGCATCCAGATAGTGTAATTTAGTTTTCCTGATTTCAAAGTGGAGAATTGAGCTGCTATATTTTGAGTTTTTTAGTAAGAACCCTTAGAAACTGAACTCAGCCCAAACAGGTCCTGGCAGAAGATTTACATCTGGATTGTCATTGTAGACAGATGTGTATGTCTGTGATATTTAAAACACCCAACTTTTCTTGGACTTATTGTACATAAAACTGATGCCTCGTGTTTTTAAAAAACGGCTTTAAAATGAACTTGCAGCACTTTAAGTGACTTTCTATACTAGATAGTCATGTGTGCCTGGTGGTTCCTTTCAATACATATTTTTATATGCTAATTGACAACAAGATGAATAGAAAGGCTTCACACTCCAGGATTCCTAGCACACATCCATTTCCCCAGTGTCAGCTTTCTTGACAGGCCTCTTAGCTGGCAACAAAACATATATAAATATAGACACAGTTGAGTTTGGGGTATCTCCATTAATATTTACATAGCTTGCCACCCGGTGTCTCAGCTGCACAGCTGTTTCCAGTTGATAACTGTCTCCTTCCAATCATGGTTATGACGTTTTATTTCATTGGGGAATATGTGTAATCATAAACATGATATGACTGTCCTGTCTGGTTTGTTATTCCACATGTCTCCAGAGAGCATTTGACATTTCAGAAATACTGTATTCAAGATCAGTCTCTGGGACTACTAAGTTTCATAGCTCTTCTCCAGTAATTTTTAACATTAATTTTCCAGCAGCAGTATCACTAACATGTAGTAGCCCCAATGCCTGGTGGGTGAGGAAAAGGGTCATTCTATTTATGTGATAAGCATTTTTTAAAAACTCCAATTTCTAAGTATCCCGCTGCATGTAAGCACAGCACAGACAGGGCAGGAGCAGCTCCAGGGAAAAAAATGCATAATACATCCACTTGTACATGAAGTCGAAGTCAAAGTCTTAACTTAAGCTGATATCCATGGAAGTCAGGGGGGCACCCTGTATTTACACCAATTTGAGATCAGGTGGTAGTGCCATACCTGAACTTGGTTCAGAGATTTAAACTCCTATACAGCATTTAAGGACAAGCTTATTTAACCTGCTTCATTGACTTTGGACAGGATGGAATTCAGATGCCCCTTATCTGAAAACTTTTAAAAAGACAAAGCAAGCCAAAACGATTTGATTAATTTGCCACCAACAACAAGTCCCACAGACTCCAGCAACTGTTCTGTGCAAGAAAGGTTTACTTGTAGGAGTAAAAATTTTCAAGCAAGAGTGCTAGAATCTTTCCATGCATGATCCCCAAATTTGAGAAAGAAGGCCAAAAGATGACATCTGGGATTATTCAATATGTTTTAAAAAATACTCCACTGCAGAAGTATTGCAAGGTAGTTCTTTTGAGAAAGAATCATCAAAACAGCATAGGGTGTCACTTGTTCCCCTTCACTGCTTACTAAGACACCAATATTTCATTCCATTGACAAAATAAATCTTCATTCTCCAAACCAAGCCTAGAAATGTCATCACAATAACAGAAGTGACAACTATATGTTTCAGCACAACTAGATTATAAACTATCACTCCAGTCTTATTTCCCATCCTCTATCCCCTGTCAACAGCATTGAACTGGAAATGCCAATGTGAAAACTGGCCTATTAAAAAACAGGTTTCTGCAAATCTAGACAGGGAAAAAATAATGAAACCTCCATTACTGCTCCATTTATTCTTGCACAGCTGAAATAACTGCTGAATCCATTACCACATCAGTGGCCCACTGGAGGATGTAGGCCACAAAATCAGAAGGAGATTTCAGTAAAAGCTGCTTTCATGTGAAAAACATTTTGTGTGCAACGAAGAATTAGATGAAGCTGTATGTATGGTGTAAGCAGCTTCCATTAATCCCACCGGCTATACTCTGCCTTTGCCCTGCACAGAATGCAATGGCCTTTCCCAGTTAATGCAATCTGAATCTGTATTTTTTTTAAAAATCCATCAGACAAATAGCCAAGGAAGCATTACTTAAGAGCAAATCATCTCAACAAACTCTATCCATTTAATTTAGATAAACTAATATAAAAATACTGGCAGCTTCTGGAACTCAGTCCACACCTTAAAATCAATAATGACACTTAAATTAAAAGAGGAAAAAATAAGAGAGTGGGATTATGAAAGGAAGTCACCCTCATCTGCAAAGGAGTCATCTCCATCTTTAACCTCAAGAAAGCTCAGCTCAGTACAAACAAGTTATTATACATACAAAACAACTAAAACTAAAATATCAAGGCATTTGTTCAGTCAGCATAATCCATAGAAGTCTTCCAAATAAAAGCAGAAAAAGACATAAGATTTACTAGATTTCTCTCACAGGGCCCATACTTCTGTCCCTTGAAGGCAAAGGCAATATACCTATTGGCTTCATTATATTCTTACTGAAATCAAAGTACATGAGTAAAAACCCAGACAGCCCATGAACGTAACCAAATGATCCCAAACAGTGGTGCTCAACCTTCCTTGTGCTTTGATCTTCATCACGCCACAGACGAAGAGAATCATTGCATTTATATACAAAGGGAGATAAACAAGTCCAATCATAATGGATGCGTTTATGGTGACTAATTCATGCAATTAGTGTGACTGTACCTCCTGCCTCATGTTCAAACTATCAGCACTAGCTTATTGAGCAATTAATTGTAACAAAAACGTAATTTGAATGTTGGCGGCCATTCTTTGCTTTGCTTCAATGAACGTTTCAAAGACTAATGAACTTTGAGGTGCAATTTTTTTTATTTGAAGGTATTGATAAGGTGTACAAGTTGAGGTGGAAATTTAAGGGTAAATATTTTGGTTTCAAACTTCAACTTATACACGTGTTCCAGGAGTCAGGGGTGAGGGGGCACTTTAGTTAGAGAAACTCACCCTATCAGGTGTTAAACTATCACCTTCCTCTAAACCACTTCTACAATGAAGACCTTCTGGCCACAGAACAGCTGTATTCAGCATGGAAATGTTCTAAGCTAGAAATGTACATTGAACATTACAATACATTGAAACACTTTGAAAATAGCATTCTGCTTCTTTCTGCAGTTTCTTTGCAT